GAAAAAGTAAAAAAACTGAGAGATCGAAACATCGAAAAAAAAATTGACAAATGGAAGAAAAATTGATTTTTGGGACTTTTTGGATTTTTTAGATAATTTTTAATCGTTTATTTTTTTTCATTTTTTTATTTTTTGGATTTTTTCTTACTTTATGAATATTTTACAGGATTTCTTGAGTTTTTTGGATGTTCGAAATTCTTTGATTTTTGATTTTTTATATTTTAGATTTTTTTGGTTTTTCTTGGATTCTTTGGATTTTTTGGGTTCTTGGGATTTTTTGGATATTTGAATCTTTGGGATATTTTGGATAATTCGGATCTTTAGGATCTTTCGTATCTCTTGGATCTTTCGGGTCTATTGGATCTTTGGATCTTTTGGATCTGTTGAATTTTTTCGATTTTCTAGATCTTTCGAATTTTTTGGGGTTTTCGAATTTTTTTTGTTTCATTTATTGTCTGATTTTTTATATTTTTTGGATTTGTGGGGTATTTTCTATTTTTTGGTTTGTTGAAATAAGTGGATTTATTTGAGTTTCTTGGTTTTCTTGGATTTTTTAATTTCTTGGATTTTTTAAATTCTTCGATTTTTCAGTTTTTTTAAGTCTTGAATTTTTTGTATTTCTTTTTGGATTTTTTTGATAATTTTTATTCCTTTGTTTTTTCATTTTCTGATTTTTTGGATATTTGCATTTTTGGGATATTTTCAATTTTTTGGATTTTTGGGTTTATTACATTTTTTGAGTTTTTTGACTTCCTTGGATTTTATATTGTTTGGATTTTTTAGATTCTCTGTTTTTTTTATATTGTCGATTTTTTGGGTTTTTTTGGATTTCTTGGAAACTATGGATTCTTTGGATTCTTCTGATTCCTCAGATTTTTTTAACACTTGGAATTTTTTGGACCTTTGGATTTTTTGGATCTTTGGATTTCTTAAATTTTTTGGATATTCTGGATCTTTCGGATTATTTGTATAATTTTTAGCAAATATTTATAAAAACAAAAGATCTAGTGTGAAATAAACTTGTGCAGATAAAAATATTACGTGAGGTTAGATACTGCAGAGCATGAAAACTTTCGTTCAATTTAAATTATACAACAAAGAAAATTACTGAAGTTAAAATTGTGAGACAACAAAAATTGTATGAGGTGAAAAATTGCAAAGCTAACAAAATCATATGAGGTTAATATTTTATGTCCATTCGAGTTATTGGTTAATTTTTAAAAGTAAAGTTATTCAGCTGCATTGTAGGCCATGGTTATACATTTCCCCAAACAAACAAAAAAAAAGGCAATCTGGAGGTTCAAAATGGGGTCGGACGAATGCGTCGTTAAAAAAAATGTAAAAATGTATGTCTCCCAAAAATGTGATCAATCCTGTGGCGTTGTGCAAATAATGGTCTAAATCAAAGGAATAAAATGCACGTCCCATATGACCCACACTGTTGTTAATTTGTTCAACGAGATTTTACAGTTCAAACATGTGCTCAGTTTGAAAATACTCTTTCAACACGGCCGCTGGCAGAACAAAGAATTTACCTGATGTTAAATTAAGCCACGCTTTATCAACAATTCAAACAAAGAATTTACATTATGTTAAATGATGCCACACTTTATCAACGGCTTAAACAAAGAATTTACATTATGTTAAATGATGCCACACTTTATCAACGGCTCAAACAAAGAATATAGATTATGTTAAATTATGCCATTATCTAAGTGATTAGTTACTTAAAACAATTAGCTTTGAGTATACATATATCGTGAACTGTCCCCAGCTTATCCCAGACAAAACACATGATAAATAAATAACACAAAATGTACCAGGCGTTGCGAGAAAAGCTTCTCGGTGATGTAATTTACCACGTTGCGATAAAATGTCTCGGTGATGTAATGATGATATGATGATAATAACTGCTTAAGGGAAGAAATTTTTAATCTCCCCGTACCTCAGTCGACGATATTATGAATTCTACCCCACTTTCCACCATCTTTTTTCCGAAGTGGGGCAACGTTAGATTGATTTAACTGCCGTAAATGAATTTTTAGCAATCTTATGTGAGGAATTAAGAAGTGTTATATTGTAACACTTGAGTATAAGCATCCAGAAACTTATTCATAATTTGGTAAACAAAGGGTGAATCCTGAATAATTGAATTTCATGAAAACTCCTACAAAATAGAGTATCTGAACAAATCGAATGTCTGTTAAATTATGTTAGAACCAATTAACGATTAAAATCCTAACATGAACTGTGAATTTACAAACAATAAAACAAATTTACACCGCATGTTAGCGTCGGTCGAAAATTCGCATATTTCCGCTTCGAAAGCTGCAAGAATTAGCTACGCGTGTCGGGGAAACTGGCGTCGCCACCGTGACGATTACTACCAAACCAAACCAACGAAACTTAACCTAGTTTATTCACCACGTGGTTTCACACACAACAAAGAAACCAAAAGTGATAAAGTCACTAGATAGATATGGTTATCTAGGGACTTTAAAAAGTGACATGTTTCACCGCCCTCTATGAAATGAGCCTCTTCTCCGAACTCTCTCACTAGATACTACCAAGAAAATCCCTAGGAGCTACCAAATATCAGAAAAGAACTAAACGTGCAAATTATTCAAATAAGATTTCCCGCCGCTGTTAATTTTTTTTTCAGCGCGAAATTTTAATTTAAATCTGGTCACTACAGCCAAAATAAGTAACTTTCTCTGTCATGTGCTTTATATGATCTACATTACTGCAGTATGTAGATAATGCTTGCTTATAAGACTCCGTAAGAAAAAAGTAAACTTAGCCCCACCCACCCACCCGTTTTCCCATTTTCCGTCTTCTAAAATAAAAAATAAATCTTATAGCGAATAGTATAACAAAAAAAATACGATTGCCGCTACTTTTTTCTTTTTTTAGCAGCCTTAGTTCTATTAATTCCCATTGCCACTCTACAAAAGAACATATAATTGACCCCGTCCACCCACCCGGCCTTTATTTCAATGATTGATTTTATTTAACCAGAATGAAAAATGTATCTCATACTCGACAGAAATAAAATCGTTAGGCGGAGCTAATCTTACTACAATAAGACTGACTGTGGCAAATCACATACACTCTAAGAAAAGACAGGGCGGGTGGGCGCGGCTAGTATTTGTTAAGATAAGAGTGATTTTGGTAAATGGCTTAGCAATATTAAGAGTAATCACTGGAATGAAGAGGGGGTGGATGGGCGGAGATAATGCTTGCTTATAAGACTCTGTAAGAAAAAGTTAAACTTAGCCCCACCCACCCACCCGTTTTCTATCATTTTTAGTCTTCTAAAATAAAAAATAAATCTTATAGCGAATATTATAACAAAAAATACGATTACCGCTATATTTTCTTTTTTTAGCAGATTACGTTCTATTAGTTCCCATTGCCACTCTACAAAAGAACATATAATTGACCCCGCCCACCCACCCCGCCTTCATTTCAGTGATTCATTTTATCTAGCCAGTATGAAAGATGAATTTCATACTCAACAGAAATAAAATCGTTAGGCGGAGTTAATCTTACTACGATAAGACTGACTGTGGCAAATCACATACACTCTAAGAAAAGATAGGGCGGGTGGGCGGGGCTAGTATTTGTTAAGATAAGACTGATTTTGGTAAATGGCTGAGCAATATTAAGAGTAATCACTGGAATGAAGAGGGGGTGGATGGGCGGAGATAATGCTTGCTTATAAGACTCTGTAAGAAAAAGTTAAACTTAGCCCCACCCACCCACCCGTTTTCTATCATTTTTAGTCTTCTAAAATAAAAAATAAATCTTATAGCGAATGTTATAACAAAAAATACGATTACCGCTATTTTTTCTTTTTTTAGCAGACTACGTTCTATTAGTTCCCATTGCCACTCTACAAAAGAATATATAATTGACCCCGTCCACCCACCCGGCCTTTATTTCAATGATTGATTTTATTTAACCAGAATGAAAAATGTATCTCATACTCGACAGAAATAAAATCGTTAGGCGGAGTTAATCTTACTACGATAAGACTGACTGTGGCAAATCACATACACTCTAAGAAACGATAGGGCGGGTGGGCGGGGCTAGTATTTGTTAAGATAAGAGTGATTTTGGTAAATGACTGAGCAATATTAAGAGTAATCAGTGGAATGAAGAAGGGGTGGATGGGCGGAGCTATTGCTTACTTATAAAAGTCTCTGTAAGAAAAAGTTAAACTTAGCCCCACCCACCCACCCGTCTTCTGATTTTTTTCTGAAATAAAAAATAAATCTTATAGCAAATAGCATAACCAAAAAAAAAAAACGATTGCCGCTTCTTTTTAGCAGCGTACGTTCCATTAGTTTCCATTGCCATTCTACAAAAGAACATATAATTAACCCCGCCCACCCACCCAGCTTTTATTTCAATGATTCATTTTATTTAACCGGACTGAAAAATGAATCTTATACCTACTCAACAGAAATAAAATCGTTAGGCGGAGCTCATCTTACTACGATAAGATTGACTGTGGCATTATTAGTTACTTTATCTTAGAACTATGAATAGTTTGAATTTACAAACTAATTTGTTGACGAAATTAGTCAGAGTTTACATATTTTTCATTAGACAAACATTAATAATAATTCATTACGCTCGTTGGGGAGAAACTGTGGCATTATTTTGTATTTGCTGGACTTGCTATACATTCCAAATCCTCAACGAACTACCAACCTGAGGGCGACATTCACTAATTTCCTCTAAACGCACTAGACATGGCTGGTTGCCTACCTTGCAATGATTTTATTTTTTTTCAAAAGCTGTTTTGCGGCGTTGTTTTTTTCTTGGCGCGAAATTTAACTTTTAAATCAGGATACCACAAGGTTATAAAAATATATTTAGTATATACTTTACCTGTAGATTCCTATTTAGTTATTGAATTTGAAATCTCGAATTTCGGCACTTAAACGATGTTGGAAGAAGCAGCTACAAGTATTTCAGCCTTTTTTCATGATTATCGTTATATTATCTCGATTTTACACATCACTGAATTTTCAAAATGCGCAAACAACTACTTCGTTTCCAAAAACTTTAAACACACCGCAAAACCACAAATTTTTTTGCGACTAAAAACAAAAGTTCTCACATAACCTTGCTTTAATGTAAACATAACCTTATCACGAGAAGTTGAAGCGTTAATTTACATCAGTTATCGAATCCACAAACGTAATCAATTAGTGCCTATAATAACATAAGTGTGAAAAATGACCGATAAATTGTACCCAAATGCCTCATCCTACGGCAGCATTAACAACGTATACAACAGGGCCCCTTGTGCCAAACAACCTCTGGAAACAAATCAGCAGTACTACTCGTACAACATGCCAATCAACAACAACTACAACCAGTTAGAAGCTTTCAACATGTTGTCGCCCCAAAATTGCCACAAAAACCAAAGTGTGTGTATGTTTCCAGAAACAATGACCTGGGATAATCGAATCTGTGAAGACGCCTTAAAAATTCCCGATAAAATCGAGATGATAGAAATCACAAGCAAGGATCTGAGTCCGGCCAGTTATTGCAGTAATTTAGATTTATTGATGCCAGATTTTTATAAAACTTTGGGAAAGGACTTGAATTATTTTAATAAGTACGATGGGCCGTATAATAACTTCAACACCAACCAGAAAATAGTGGATTATCCTTCGTGTGCCCAGAGTAGTCAAGTGGTGGGTACCCAAATTGATAAAACAGTGAAATATTGCAGTATACAAAATATGCAAAAGTCGCAAGATTTTGATTATAGTGGATCTGCCTACACCGAACAGCCTTATCCCTGTAAATATCTGGCATCCACAAGTCAAGATTTTTACAGTGGTTGTTATGACAATAATAAATTGTTGGAGCCTTTACAAAACCAATATTTTGATTTACCTGCTGATACTTTTCAGCCCATTGATCAACAAACTGAAGGTTCTAATGATGAAAGTGATATAATAGTGGAAGAATCGGATGATGAAATTGCTGACTGTGTGGAATATGATAGTAAAAAAATCCCGTCAGAGTCCAACAGATGCATTATTTGCAATGTGTCATACACTCCTTTAGGAACTCAGTTTTATTTTTTGACTCTCAAGAGCCCGTTAACCATGTCTTCACAGAAACCAGTTTTTACTAAAATTGTGAGTATTGTGGGAAAAGTCACCAATGAAATCAACTACTTGTGTAGTGAATGTTTGGGTCTTATTAACACAATAGATCACCTCCAATTTAAACTGAACAATTTCAATGCGGAATTATTGATGAAATTCCAGAAGACTTGTCAAGACAATAACATAATTTACAGTAAAAACTCGTTAAAGAAAGTTAGATTTAAAACTCAGCAGAGTCATCGGATGAGGTGCAAACTGTGTAAAAAGGTGTTGTCCATGCAGGAACTGTGCAAACGTCACTTAAAAAGACACAAATCTAAAGGATTTTTGTGTGAATTGTGTGGTACAATCTCGCGAAATCGGCGCCAGTTCAAGTTACATTATCAGAAACATAAGAAAAAGCACCCCAAAATTAAGTGTTTTGTGTGTACAAATTGCCCCAAAACATTCAGGACTAAGTCAAATTTAGTAGAACACGAAAACTATTGTTTGGGACTTCTTCCATATTGCTGCAAATTCTGTGATAAAAAATTCCCGTCAACCACAAAACTGAAAAATCACGTCAAGTTAAAGCACGACAAGAAGTTTGTAGCGATTTGTTCGATTTGCAACATCGGTTTCGTTAAATTATCCGACTATAAATCACACAAAATCAGTCATAGCACTGATAAAAAATTCGCTTGTAGCAAGTGTGACAAGACCTACAAAACCTTGAGTAATTTAAATTTCCATATGAAGGTCCACAATAATAAATTACCATTTATATGCTCCATCTGTGATAGAGGTTTCATGCGAAAAGAATATTTAGAAGCGCACGTTAACAACCACAACGGAGTCAAAAACTTTTCGTGTAGTGTGTGTGATAAAAAGTTTGTTTCACAGAAAAATTTAGACTCGCATTTGAAGTATCACGACGGCTCGACTAAAACCAACACGTGTAACATGTGCGGGAAAGTGATGACGACCGGTTTTGAGGAACATTTACGAATCCATAACAACTTAAGAGAGTTTGAGTGTGACCAATGCGATAGTCGGTTCAATACCAAAGGGACTCTCGCCAAACACAAGAAACGTAAACACGCCAGTCAATAAAACCATTTGCAACCTAAAATAGTTTTATTTACAACTACAAACAATTAATATTTAGGGCCATGTAGGTGCTTCGCCTTCCTTCAATACTCGCCCATACAGCGCACTCTTGTCTCTAAACAGAGTGAGCCGTTCGGTTTCCGTTTTATCCAAATACCATCCGAAACCGTAGCCAAAAGCTGGTATAGCAAGGGCGAACATTTTTTTATTGATAAAGTATCTGAACTTCATTTTGTTCTTGCTGCTTTTTCAGATGTGCTTTGTACTTCTGGGTATGGGAGTAGTCGGCGTAAATCGTGCCTACGACAAAACTGGGAAGGAGTACTACTATAGAATAGCGACTGAGCAAACGGCCAAAACGAATGGCCATCTGAAATGAAAAATTATGTCATAATTAGGTTATGTTCACGAGTAAAAAAAAAGAAGTTGAATGGTAAATCTTAGGTTTTAATGCATACCAAATTCAAATCAGAACCACGTGTTGTTGTGAACTAAGCCCCCAGTTTTGTATTTTAGGCGAAAATTCGATTTTTGTGTCGCGACAGAAACGTCACTTTTGGTAAATCAAGCGTGCCAACACAAAATTGATATTCTAGTAATGCAATTTACTGCAGTAAAATTATTATAAAGCTTGCAACAAAGACTTTATTTAGTTGTATAATGCTAATATTATTATTTACAACAGGTGAAACGTTTTGAAAGTGAACTTTTTTGCAATTTGGCAGGTTTGCCAACCCAATAGTTATGTAAAATGTAAGCGACAATGTCAGACGTCAGTTGTCAAATCCGTTAAATCACGTTAAGCCAAAGTGTGGTTATGTTAGAATAACAAAATAATTTGTTATTTATCGAAAAACCAAAATGAATGAGTACGGGTCTCATTTGTTGCCCCCAGCGAAAGAGAGTACACGAGCAGCGTGTAAAAAATGTGGTTATGCGGGTCATTTAACCTATCAGTGTCGAAATTTCATAAAAGTAGACCCCAACAAAGAAATCGTTTTGGATGTGAGTAGCACAAGTAGCGAGACAGATCAAGAGTACTTGACTCCTCTCACTGAATTGCGAGAAAAGGAATTGGTGGAGAAATTAAAGAAAAAACGGAGAAAGAAGAAGAAGAAGTCGGAGAAGAAATCAAAGAGGAAGAGGAAACATTCATCAACGGAGAGTGAGAGTGATAGTGACACTGATTCCAGTGAGCGAGAAAAGAAGAAGAAAAAGCGGCAAAGATCTAAAACTAAGAAGAAATCGCAAGATTCGTCAGACTCGGATTAAGCAAATCGTGTTTTAAAACATCTTTATTGAAACAACAATTAATTTTATAAATAAATACATCACATATAAAATTCATTGATGAAAGTTTAAATAAGTTTTACAATCGTTACCTAATTGACGTACTTTTTGATCACAATATAAAAGCCTATTTATATCACAATTTTGACTGAGGGTTAACACTGTGGATGGACGTCACTGGAGAGGTAATGAAGACGAACACACATTTGGCATGAGTAGGTTTCAAAAAGTATACAAAATATTAACATTTGCTTTAAATACCCGTAACAGCAAGGGAAGGCGTTAACAGCATGCAATAAGGTAACAATCTCTTCGACTCAGTCACCAAAAACCACATTATTTAAACACTGATTGAACACTGATAAAACAAATAACATACAATTTACAGCCTTAACATTCAGTTTGGAGGGGTGGTAATTTCATTGTTTTGCTCAGCCAACTTCCAACGCTTACGTTATCTGCCCCGGCCTTTAGTATCCATTTGTGCTTCAGTAAAGTTTTCAAGTCAGCTCTCTCGTGGGGGTCTTTGCTTAAACATTTGCCAACGAAATCCTCAAATTCAGCCGAAAATGAACCTTTTGGCAGTGTTGGGGGCGGCTTCGTGACTATATAGTCCAACAGCTCAAATATTGTCTCCGGTTTTTGGGTTTTGGCGTCAGGGGGAGGAATTGGATAAACCCCGGTAGCCATTTCAACCAGAGACAAACCCAGCGACCACGCGATACTTTTAAATGAGTAATGGGTACCTTGCATAGTGCCTTCAAGTCTCTCAGGAGGCATGTAACTTCGGGTCCCCACCAACAAATGAGCCGTTGAGTCGGTCCTAGTCCCAGAAATTCCGCATCCGGAAAATTTGATTTCTCCATTACTTTTGATGAGGATGTTGCTGGGTTTTATTTCCGTGTATCTGAGAGCATTGCCGTCTTGAAGATCGTTCAGTATTTTCAACAGAGAGGCGGTGATTTTGGCAACGATGTTTTCGGGGATTTGCCCAACCTGTTGTAATACGAGATCGACGGAGTCTGTGTCCATAGAATCAAATACTAGTTGACAATGTGCAACGCACTGATTTAAACTTTTAATTAGTTGGTTTGCGGTATTTGTTGAAATTGTCTGTCTACATGGCTGTGTGCATGCTGCTTCGATTAATTACTGCATTTCCATTCCCGCTGCAAGAGCTGCAAGTGAATCAATAATTTATTTGTAGCGGAAAGGGGAAGCCTACGCAGGTGGGGAAGGGGTGCTGTACCCACGCGCAATTGCCCTGGGAAACTTTGCAAAAAAATCGACATCGTATATTTGTTTATGCATGATAATTGTTTTTTCGAAAATCTGTTTCTGTGTTAATAATTATTATGAAGCGAGCTGATTGAGTCAACAGAGGTATTATTGTATCGTAATGTAAATTATTTTTTCATTGTCACACCATCTTTTCAAATTCTGAATGTAGTATTAATGTTTTCGCTATAAATGAATAAAAGCTAATGTGATATTAAGTTGTTTTTTATTGAACTGTTTGTCTCTTATTTAAAATTGTATCACATCAAGGATTTTTATTCTTCAAAAATATTTTGGTAAAAATATTTACTTTTTTCTGCCGAATGTTTACATCAACAGTATGTTAGATTGCATAATTGTGTAAAATTAAAATAGTATTTAGCATGCAAATTATTGACAACGTTGGTTATACAAACTTTGGTTAGTGTTTTGTATTTTCTACGGCATTCTTAAAATACTTATAAAGTTTGACAACAATCAGTCTGCTAGTTTCGGAGATTAACTGTTTAATAAGAATTGACACAGACGACGGATAGACAGACAGATTGACGGAAACGGGAGACCTATTTTGTCATACTCTAGGATAATTTATTTAATATTTTTTTCATAACGGTCCACAGCTTGAAGAATGCGGACATGATGTCTGTTAGTAATTGTATTAGACATCTAAAATCCGAAACAACGCCACTAATCGCTGTAAATTTTTTAATTACATTCTTAATCGTCTTCAAATATGTAGACGGATCTCAAAATTTTATTCAGTAAGTATCACTTGAAATTTATAGTTTAACATATTGTGTTGTGCGTGCCTAAATAATGTGACGATAATTTAAATCTTGCAAATACTTGTTCCTAAAAAAAAACATTTTTAGAACTAAATTTCATATAACGGATTGCTTAGTAAATATTAAAGATAATTCAAATTTATTATTCAGTCCTTCCAGAAAGTTGATGCCGTGTTCTTAACAAATTATTAAATAAATGCGTATATATACAGTGTCTTTTTTAACGCTTTGACATAGGAATTTACGTACTAATAACAGTGAGTCGTGTTAATAAATTTTCTAGCAGGGATTTACAAGTGTAATTTGACAGAAAGTAAATTAGTATTTTATAAATCAATTTTAGTTCACTTTATCGTACAGAAGAAAATATTTGCCGATTTATAGAAAAAATAAATTTATTAAATTCACAATATTGTTTGCCAAGTAGGCTATGGTAAAGTGACATAAATAATAATTATATATTTAGTAAACGTCTAGTAGTAATAATGAAATACTTTTACTAGGAATCGACCGATTTGGAAATTCGGCCATAAAGGTTTTTGCAAATATGACGCGCTGCAACTAATTATTTTGACACCTGGACATGGCCTTCTAAGCAATGAATATGTAATGAATTTAATGTACTTTTTTATAATTCCCTAATTATCTGGTATTAACAACATAAAAAAAATTGGTCTAAAGAGTTTAGACAGTACTTCCCTCGTTGTCGGAAACGTGACGACTGCATGCCTATTATGTTTTTTTTTCGCAATAGATTTCAAGGCATTCGGTTTTGTAGTTCCTGAGTAAACCAATAAAATAAATTTACGCATTCATTATTTTTTTTGAGTCACCCGGTATATGCAAATTCAAAAAATATGAATGGAATGATAAATTACAAGTACCGACTCATCATATTTTGTACATTCTAGATAGGATTTATTCGGCAAACTTTTGAGCTGACGTCATCAGTTTTTTGGAGAAGATAACCAAATATATTTTGACTAAAAATTTATTATGCTCTTTATAATCTTAAAACATCTGCAAGATTTCAAAACATTCGGTTCTGTAGTTCCTGATTAAATCAATAAAATACATTTACGCATTCATTAATTTTTTGGGTCACCCTGTATATGCAAATCCAAAAAATATGAATGGAATGATAAATCACAAGAAGGGACTCATCATATTTTGTACATTTTAGATAGGATTTATTCAGCAAAATATTGTGGTGACGTCATAAATTTTTTAAGGGGGATGAGCAAATACATTTTGATCATAAACTTACCATGCTTATGATAACTTTAAAACATCTTCAAGATTTGAAAGCATTTGGTTTTGTACTTCCTGAGTAAATCAGTAAAATAAATTTACGCATTTTTTAATTTTTTTGAGTCACCCTGTATATGCAAATCCAAAAAATATGAATGGAGTGATATATCACAAGTACAGACTCATCATATATTGTACATTTTAGATAGGATTTATTCGGCAAACTTTTGAGCTGACGTCATCAAGTTTTTAGAGGGTATAACCAAATATATTTTGACTAAAGATTTATGATGCTCTTTATAGCCATAAAACATCTGCAACATTTCAAAACATTCGGGTTAGCAGATTCAAAATTAAATTGGAAAATGTTGTTTTATAATTTTTATTTTTTTTCCAAAAATTTGGACGTTTCGCGTAAAAACTCAATTCGGAGTCGTAAACGACATGTGTAGGACTATGTTATTTTATACAATTTAAGACTCATTTACTATGTACAATTTTGAAGTGATGTCATCGCATTAGTGGTGGGGATGATTAGACAAATTTTGGTTAGCGTTTTACCATCTACATGATATTCCTAATATAAGTACAAAATTTCGTAACAATCGGTCCAGTACTTTTGGAGATTATCTGTCTAATAAAAATCCGGGACGGCAGACAGACGGACAGACAGACGAAAATGGGAGACCTATTTCTTCGTCTTCTAGGGGTCATGAAAGATCGAGAAAACGTAGAAGTAGAGAGTCGGCCGACGGACTCGATTACAATACTTCCTTTGCTTACGCTCGGGAAGTAATACATAAAAAATAAAAAATTACAAGACCAGTACTATAACTAAAAGAATCGAGATGATTTTTAAACGTCGTTCCGCGATAAGGCGTTCCAGTGGTTACAACCTCGATAAGACCAAAAATGTTGTCGAGAAAGAATACGGTCTTGTTCCTTGTGGGGTTTCCAAGGATGTCCTCGAAGTATTGCGTCATTATTTAGTATGAAGAAGTTGTTAATCAGCAGACCCCTAAAAGCTCGATTGGTGAGAATAAGGTCTTAATATTCGCCTTTTGTATAGTTTTGGAAATTTCATTGTACCCTATAGAATTTTATTGGCAATAACGAGACGGACAGTAGTACAATAGCAAGAGATATTTACAACTTAAGTTGTCGCGTGCCGGTAATCCCCAGATGCTAGAAACCAGAATAGTTCAGGTCCGGGCAGGGACCATCGTTACTCATGAACGGAAATGACCATTATTTTATGAGTGCAACTACCTGCCAAATGTTCTTAGACAAATTCGAGTGAACTGGTGTGAGCCATAAATATTTCTTACCATTATACTACTGTCCGTCTCGTTATCGTCAATAAAATTTTATAGGGTAGAATGAAATTTCCAAAATAAAACTAATTTTGGTATATGACTTATACCCTCTAAGATAATCACCTGATTTGACCTGACCTGACCTGACCTGACTTGAACTGACCTGAACCGACCTGAACTGACAAGTAAAATTTGTCTATTCTATACATTATAAATTTCCTGGAAGACTAAATAGAGAGGAAAAAGTGTCCTTTTTTGTTGTAAAATGCTTCTAGAGACTTTAAAACGTCTAGCAAAGAATATCTAGATGTATGTATAAGTTGTCAACTGTTTCACTAATGTTTAAGCCTGCGGTTTATCTTGGTTTCTTCTTAAAATAAACTTCCTTAAAAAATTTTAAACGTCTATTGATTAAAAAAAAAACTGCTAAGAAAAGACTGAATTTGGTAAATGCAAATCCTGTAAAAAAATAAAGGGTGGGTGAGCGAGGCTAGTATTTGCTAAGGACCTGATTGATGTTGGTAAATACATATCCTCTAAAAAAAAGGGGCGGGTGGGCGGGGCTAGTACTTACTAAGATAAAACTGATTTTGACACTTTTGACATTTTCGACTATTTTTCTAACTAGAAGAGGTCAGGTCACGGTAGGTCAAGTCAGGTCAGATGCATGAAATAAGAAATAAATTTTATAGCAAATAGTATAACAAAAAAAAATACGATTAGCCTTGTTTTTTACTTTTTTTACAACGACGGCAACTTCACAATAGATAACCGTTTCTCCTTCTTCCTCCGTAATAATTGAAGTAAAACAGCCAAGACTTTTAGATATATCTTTATCACAAAATAAGTTGAGCCTAAATAATATGATTGTTGTAAAATTGTATTAGAACTAGTAAAAGTTAAAACTTTTAATATGAACTATGAATTTACAGGCAGTGATACAAAAATTACACGCGTCAAGGGAATAGTCAAACTTTAACATGATTCAGATTAGAAAATCAATAATAAATTGATATTGTACTAATTATTTTCGTTGGATTGGAATCATGGCATCGAATGCGCTTTAACTTTGTTTAAAAATTGCACTGCTACACAAGAAGTAAGTGGGATTTATAAACTTGCTGTTGACGTTGAAGTTCCCGCTGCAGTTGCTGTTCCCGGTGACGTTGCTTTTAAAGCTGAAAAATTGTCATTTGTTAACTGCGTTGTCAAGTTGCCGTTGATAGTAACTTTGATGTTCAACTTTTGCAATATTTCAAGGGGTTGTAGAAGAAAAGTGGATGATTTAAGTTGATTACTACAAAATTTTACCATTTTAGACATGTTTTAAGTTTCTTTTATCGAAATAAGTCTACACATATTAAGAAAAAAAGGCAAAATGTAGAACTGCCCACCCGCCCTACCTCAATTGTGATGTTTTTGAGTATATCGTGTTTAAAGAATACTATGTATATTAAGAAAAAAAATAATGGCAAAGATTAGGCCCCACCCATATCCGCCCGGATCTCAATTCTCAATTATGATGAATTTTTCATTCGTTGTCAGATTGAGGGGCGGGGCTTAATTGCAAGATCCATATTTGTCTTACAATAATTTACCATTTCAAACGTGTTTTAAGTTTCTAAAAATAAAAAAAAACACAATTAACTTGGGGTGGGTGGGCGGGGTTTATATTTTGCCTTCTTTTCTTAATATACATAGTATTCTTTGAACAACACGATACTCAGAAACATGTTTTTAATTTATTGTAGAGAAATAAGTATTTTGCAGTTAAGCCCCGCCCCTTGCTTCACTCCAAATAAAAAAAATCATCACAATTAAGATAGGGCGGGTGGGCGGGGTGACATTTTACCTTTTTGTTTTAACATATGTACACTTCTTTTCACAACATGAAACTTAAAACATGTTTAAAATGGAAAATTTGTGTAAGGAAATATCGATCTTGCAATTAGGTTCTTCCCCATAATTGCAAAATCCATACTTCCTTACAAAAATGTACCATTTTAACCATGTTTCAAATTTCTTGTTGCGAAAAGATGGCTATCTATATTAAGAAAACAAAGGAAACATATAGGCCCCGCCCACCCACCCTATCTCAATTCTGATGATTTTTATATGTACTTACTCGTTTGCACATTAAAAAAAAATATATCCCTTACGTTACGGTCTGCGCCCCTTTTGGCGCTGCGCCCCCCCGCCTTGCGGGGTATGCGGGGGTGCTATTTACGCCACTGTTAACAATGTATAAGTACTGAAAGAAAGCCACAGTGTAGAAAATGATGGCAGCTATTTAAAATATGAGGGTCTGGGTATTGGGGTGATTAAATGGCTTAATATTAGTGGGCCTCATTATCTCCATCAAAAGACACTTAAAAATCTACCTACACAACATTCCATTCCCTCTACTTTTAAGAAGTCCAGGGTGACATTCCTCTACACATGGTTGCCTGCGTTCTTGACTGATTTTCTTATTTTTAATTTTTCAAATGCGGTTTCGCGGCGTTGGGGTTTTTTCTCGTAGTGCGAAATTTAAATTTCAATTCAGGACACCACAGTATAGAGCTTTCTATATTTATTAGTTACAAATTTCAAAAAGTTGGTGTTACGTATATAATTATTATTGTTACTTTTTGATTTTACTTATAAATTCTAATACAGGACAACAGCAACATAACATAGTAAAAATGCGTTGCAAAATTATGAAGTTTAAAAAAATTCAAGAAGTTTAGCAGGGCAACGATTGACTTGCGTCATAGCCTCTACCATGAGACGAATAAATGGTTGCCTAGAGGTTTTCGTAACAAGTTTTCAAATATCTTTTAACGTCGGTAAGCAGTGAGCTTTGCAGTCTCATTCTTTCGGTAAAGTAAGTGGTGCAGTATTAATCGGCAAAATATCGACTAGTTTTAAGCGATTAAAATTCCTTTCCTTATTTACACGCAAAAATGAACCGTGTGATCGTGTGAACTGTATATAGTTAATTGCAATAACTTATGTTTATTATATAAATTGTGTAAGAGTGCAGTCAATCTGTTAATGTTAAGTAACCGGTAATTGTATTTGCATAACGTATATTTACTGAACCAATTATTGTTGTATAAAATGTTGTTTTTGACATTTCAAAGACACACCAAAATTTTGGTCCTGATACAATTCGGTTTGAAATACACTATAATTAATAATGTTTTAGCACCACGGGGTACCCAGAAACGCGTGTCCTACAAAGTTAACCCACGTTGGCGCTAATAACGATTATTAAAAATTACGAAAGTACAAATTTTCGACCACGCTGTGAGGGTTATTCCTACTTTGACAAAAAACGCGATAATTAATATGTAGACTTCTTGTAATTATGGAAATGGGGGGCCACCAGTCACCCATCAATCACTGTAATCGTAAACCATTTCTCATCCATCGATAAATTTCTTATGCATTTTTAAAGAGCCGAGGTGGCCTGTTTTCGGCGTTATAAATTTAATAGAAAACGATAGGCGGTTTGCGCAACGATTTTCCTCTGGTGGACGACATTAGGACATTGTAGCACCACACCTCGTACGCACGCACAGGAAGAAGAACTTTCTCTGTGTCGATTGCTCAAAATCATCTTTGACAGTTCGCGCTTCAGCTTAATCACCTCCGAGAGTTATTAGGTCGCTTGTAATCAGATTTGGTTTCTACAGGAAATGCTTGACCGATGAAGGAAATTATGTCGCATAAGTGTCATCCACCCTGCACATAATAACAAATGGCATTTCCTGAACACTGATGAAAATCAATTTTTAACACCTCCGAGAGAAAGGTGAGCAACTTAATGAGGTGCAAATTTGGTTAAAAACCTCTTACGCGGATTAAACGCGGTTTTGCCCTTTGGAGATGTCGGCACGATTTATCATAAATCGACGATTAGAGTGGATGATTGATGTGACAATTATGCAAAACTGATTCTTGATTTCTGTGTTATTTAGGGTTAACGTTGCACTTTCACTGTGCAGTACTAGATCACGAAGCATTATGTGCCGCTTTAACATATTGTTTGCGTCGAATACTTGTTGTTGTGTTCTTTTTGTACTCATTTGAATGGTTTTTCGGTCTGGTTTGTGCCATAAAACAAGCCTCGCCCAAAGTAGGAAGTTTCAGCTGAAAGGTAGAGTTAAATTACTTTGATCGGAATGGGGTTTTTTATATTCCATTGTGGTGCATTCACCAACATTTTGCACATTTTTCTGCTCGCTCCAAGATTTGTTGCAAATCAGCTTCAGCTTGTCAGGAGCGAGAATGTTTTAAGAAATTTAGCGTTTTTGAAGAGCTTTTTTTTCATTAAGTGCGACCGGAATTTTGCAGTGGCGGTGCAACATTATTAAAACAGTCAAAACGTGTCATTTACCTTAGATAGTATGTAAATAAGCAGTAGTTGTTTATGTTACGAACAGGAACACGGTTCTAGGTCAAAGGTCGCGGACTGCGATCTAAGTGAATGGTGCTATCTCATTTTCAGCATAAGTAACGTATGCACATCACTTTCGTGCTGCTTTTTTTTGGTATGACTTTTACACGACAAAAAATTTATAATATTAATATTCACCTTTTTTTACTAAACGTGAAATCTGTCGCTGTTAATCTTTTATAAACGAACTTATCTGATTTTAATTTTTCTGTCTTTTGGCATC